AGTGGGGTAGGTGGTAGGTGGTGACAGCCCTGTCCGTCCCTAGCACCCTCCCACGTTCAGATACGGTGTCGAGCCATAGGCCGGTATCGCTTGGCAGACCAGGTGTACGCGGGTGCCCGAAGTAAGTTTGTAGTGACAGAGGTTATCTTCGCTTAAGGTTTCTACCCTTAGAAGAACCTCACTACCCAAGTTATCCTTCATCCTATTCTCCTAGGTAAACTAGCCAAGAGACTACTTTCAATACCGTTCCTTTGGGAAAATATGATACCCTGAATACTTCCAGGTGAAGTGCTACAACGGTACTTCCGTGCGCTTGTGGACTTTTCAGCTTTTGCTAAGAAGCGCCAACAAGCATTTCTGGCGCCGTTGTCGGGGAACGATTGTCGTTTTAGTCTCTGAACCTAGTTTGCCTATGTATCCGCTGTTTTACCATTCTTTTCTTTTTTTACCCTTTTCCAATGGAGCAACCTACCAATCTTAATCTTTCTGCTCCTAAGGGCGAGTTCGTTGAACCTCCATAATCCTCAAAGCCAATCACAGCTTCTAATTACGAACTCTGCCTAGGCTTTGTAGCCATGGTTCGGGAACAAACCTTCTTGGGGTTGGATTATGAAAAACCCTATCACCACTTAAGGGAGTTTGAGCAGCTCTGTGCTTGCCTAACCATCTCAGGCATGTCACAAGAAACACTTCGGTGGAAGTTGTTTCCTTTCTCACTTGAAGAGAGAGCGAAATAATGGTACACCCACAATGTAGGGAAGGTAGCTGGTGATTGGAAAGAATTATGGAACAGATTCTATCTAGCGTTCTTCCCTATATCCCGATTTGCTACCATACAACAGGAGATACTCAACTTCCAACAAAAAGAGAAGGAATCCATAGGTGCAACTTGGGATAAATTCTTAATTCTGACAAGATCTGCCCTAGACTTATCTATACCCAACCATGTGCTTTTACAGCATTTCTGGTTAGGGCTTAGCAAGGAATCTTGCCCTACAACTCAACATAGCTGTCGGAGGTTCATTTAGCCATAAAATCATAGAGGAAGGAGAAGCTCTCCTAGATCGCATTCTAGAGAACACTCCCCTGCTAGAACCCCTACGTGTAGAGCTCGAGCTAAATCATGAGGAAGTCTCTTTGGCGGAGGCCAAACCAATAACACCTTTAGAGAGACCCTTGCCTAAACTAGAAGATCTAGAGGAAGGTTTGCAACCTTCGGATCTTTCATACTTTGAGGACAAATTCTTCAAAGATTTTGGAAATACCTCGAATTACGCATGCCAGAAGAAACCACTAGTCCCAGTCACTCCTCTTCCCATAGACAAACAATTCCTTAGGGAATCAATTAAGGAGTTGACCATGATTTTGAACGACGAAAGGACTGAAGAGGTAGAACATTCTTCTGAAGGAATTCATATTCGTGTACCCTCTTCATCTATTCAATGTAAAATTCATGGGATGATGGTGGAAGTGCTTTACAATCCTACTGTTGGAGCAAACATCATGTCATTAACTTTTGTGTCATCTTTCTTTGACAAAGAACCTCTTGCTCCAACAGTCAAAACCTACAGAATTGCACCTCGCCTCAGACTAGAAGGTCTAGGGATTCTTCATGATATATCCTTATATCATGAGCAAACTAAAATTTCCCTAGACTTCCATGTCTTTGACATCAAAGATTTCGATGTCATGATAGGGCGTCCCCAAGAAAAGTTCCTTGAACCATCATCATCTGGGGATTTGAACGTAAAAGTGGGGAGAGACACCTTTACCATTCCTGTCAGTCGAGCCAAAAACTCGGTTGTAGAATCTCTTCCCCATCTTGACCTGCCCAAGGAGGTTATGTCGGTTTCACCCTTTGATTCCCCCGAGTCATCCTTACAAAAAGATTCAAAACTCTTCATAGAAGAAGAGGACAACTTAGGAGAAGCTATGGACCATCCATAGAGGAAGTACTGGCACAACCTCCGGTTGAGCTAAAACCTCTACCTACTAGATTACGTTATGCTTTTCTAAATGGTGATAAAAACACTCTTGTAATCATTAGTGATAAGCTTTCTGATGAGGAGACATTCAAACTCATCGCCATTTTAGAAAAACATAGGTCAGTTTTTGAGTATTCATTGCAAGATCTCAAGGGGATTAGCCCAACTCTTTGTACCCATCGCATTTCAATTGACCCTGCTAGCACACCATCATGAGAACCCCAACGCTGGCTCAATAATGCAATGCGGGAAGTCATGAAGAAGAAAGTCCTCAAACTTCTTCATGCCAGGATTATTTATCCCATACCACATAGCGACTAGATTAGTCCCGTCCAAGTGGTTCCCAAGAAAGGAGGCATGACGGTCGTTGAAAATAACAAAAACAAGTTAATACCACAACGTACCATCATGGGGGTGGAGAATGTGCATTGATTACCGGAAACTCAATGCGGCAAAAAAGAAAGACCACTTCCCACTACCTTTCATTGATGAAATGTTAGAACGATTGGCGAAGCATTTTTTCTTCTGTTTCCTCGATGGGTATTCAGGATATCATCAAATTCCCATCCACCCCGATGATCAAAGGAAGACAACGTTTACATGCCTGTATGGAACATATGCTTATCGTAGGATGTCATTCGGGTTGTGTAATGCACCCACATCATTCCAAAGGTGCATGATTTCTATTTTCTCATACATGATAGAAGAAATCATGGATGTTTCCATAGACAATTTTTCAGTCTATGGCAAAACCTTTGACCACTGTCTGGAGAATCTAGACAAAGTCTTACAAAGATGGCAACAAAAGGACCTAGTACTTAATTGGGAAAAGTGCCACTTCATGGTCCGTGAAGGCATCGTTCTTGTACATCTTGTGTCCGAGAGGGGGATCGAGGTAGATAAAGCCAAAATAGAAGTCATTGAGCAACTACCACCCCCCTGTGAACATAAAAGGGATTTGTAGCTTCCTAGGTCATGTTGGGTTCTATAGGTAGTTTATCAAAGATTTTTCACAAATCGCTAGACCCCTCACAAACCTGTTAGTTAAGGATGCACCTTTTGAGTTCACAAATGAGTGTTTAAACGCTTTTCTCACCATCAAGAAAGCACTCATCTTAGCGCCAATCATCCAACCACCTAATTAGTTGCTGCCATTTGAAATCATGTGTGATGCAAGGACTATGCTATTGGTGCGGTCCCAGGCTAAACCAAAGATAAAAAGCATCACGCAATCGCATATGCTACCAAAACGCTGATAGGAGCACAGCTTAACTACGCTACCACTGAGAAAGAGCTCCTAGCAATCATTTTTGCTATCGACAAGTTTAGGTCCTACCTAGTGGGTGCAAAAGTTATAGTCTATATTGATCATGCTGCACTCAAATATCTACTCATTAAAAAGGACGCTAAACCTAGATTAATTAGAAGGGTTCTTTTACTCCAAGAATTTGATCTTGAAATAAAAGATAAAAAGGGAGTAGAGAATACTGTCGTCGATCATCTATCACGTTTGCAAGTCACTAACATGCAGGAACTTCCAATAAATGACTTCTTACACGATGACATGCTACTCAAGGTGACGGATTCAAATCCGTGGTACGCAAACATCGTGAACTTCATGCTTTCAGGATACGTACCACCGAGCAAAAACAAAAGAAAGCTGCAAACGGAAAGCAAACGTCACCTTTGGGATGACCCATATCTGTATAGGGTATGCTCTGATGGTCTGTTGAGGAGATGTGTACCAACGGTGGAGGGTTTGCAAATCATTGAGAAATGCCATAGAGCACTATAGGGAGGCCATTATGGAGTATTCCGCATGCAAGCCAAAATCTGGTAGTGTGGGTTCTTCTATCTGGCGATGTACGAGGACACCAAGGAGTTTGTCTGAAGGTGCCAAAAATGCCAGCTGCAAGGAGGCATTATAGCTCGCAATGCAATGCCCCTCCACTATAACCTACAAATGGAGATCTTCGATGTCTGGGGCATTGACTTCATGGGACCATCCCAAAAGTCCCATGATAGCAAGTACATCCTCATCGCCATTGATTACATATCAAAATCACTACAAGAAATCTTAGGATCTATGATGACCTGTTATCATCATTATTTCTAGTATTTTTGTCATAGCAGATGTATTTATGACGACTGCATGACGATAAATCATTTGTCATAGATCATGCGTGGTAAACCTTGTTCTATGACGACCGCATATTTTTTCATCATAATTTTTTATGATGACCCGATTAAAAAGTCATCACTAAATATCTTAAGGCCTAGCTAGGCCCATGTACTAAGCAGGTTTTTATTGGACCAAATATAATTGTGAGTCAAATTTATAATTTGCAAAGCCCATTTATAGAAGTAAAATTAACATCAATTTCTAGGCCAATTTTTTTTTGCGGCCTATTTATTTAGTGGGCCAGAAAAGGCCTAGCCCATTTAAACATGTAGAGAAAACAACATTTTCATCATCCATACATAATCAGCTCATTTCAACTTCCATTACATAACAGCCCATTTCGACATCCATTACATAATAGCCCATTTCGGCATCCATTACATAACAACCCATATATAATCTGTACATTCATCAATCAAAGCCCTTATGCATTCATCAAATCATCCAAAATCTCATTCACATATATAATCCGTAGATGCATCACAACCCATACACATTCATCGATCATCCAAATCTCATTCCAAAGGATAGATAAATATGGTCACATCCATCAGTTATTTTACAAATCCCAGATAACACATTCCACATAGCAAAAAGACAACACTAACAAGATACATAGCAGAAATTAATATAGTGCGAACCGGATCGGACATGTCTCAAAAATAACAGCACTACCAATGTTTGTAGCATAATCTGAACTAGATCAGCCAAGTCTCATGTAATAGCACTACCAAATGTTTGTAGCATAAAATAATATGGTCTGAGTAGCCAAGTTCCAAAATCAGACGTTCAACCATATGCATCTGCAAACTTACAGAGTTAAAGGAATGGCCTTACTCTTTGCTGAACATGCGATGAAAGAAAGCATTCGTCTTGTCTTGTGCCTTCTTCAACTCATCTTGTGCCTTCTTCAACTGCTCTGTCTCTTCTAACAGCCTGCGTCTTTCATTTTCTGATTCCTCCACCTTCTTCAAAGTCTCCATCTCATCCTTTAGTTCTTCTTTGTCTTGCTTTCCAGCTGCAACTTCTGCTTCAAGTTCTATAATCCGTGCATCATTAATGGCTTTGGAGCTTCTCTTGGGGGCTGCTAGCTGAAGGCTAATATTTTGAAGAAATTTTGATTTCGGCAACACTTGAGCAACAACTTCAGCAGGGGTCTTTGAAACTTGGCCGTCTTCTACAGGTGCAACAGCGATGGATTCCATTTCAGCCTAAAAACATCAACATATCAGTAAGACAGTTCTGAAATTAATTACCAACTAGTATATTTAAAACCAACAGAAAGATGGTCATAATTGATAGTAGTGTTGCTCAAATAAGTGAATGCAGGCTTTGTAAAACAGATGTACAATCAAGGTTCACATTAAAGGCCATTTAAAGCACGAAACCATTTTTCCAACTGAATATTTTACCATAATTGAGCATGACACAGATGACTCTTCCTGATTCAATATAGTGAGGTCATTTATGCTACAAACTATTGCACTACAGTTTGGGATGATGACTCATTACAGTACAGGTTGGGAATTTGGTAATATTTCTGTTTTGGCAGTGTCTACAAGTTTACATGTGCTATTAAGAGGGTTTCTAGACAGCAGTGACATCATGCAGTACAATCTTGCCAGATTAGCATGAATAAGATGCTGCTACACATGCAACAATTGATCATTGTTCCTTGGAACAGCAGGAAGCATGTACAAGTTGCTGCTACACATGAATAGGAAGTTGCTGCTACACATGAACAAGTTGTTGTTCTGTGTCTCACAAGTAACAACAGGAAGCATGTACACATTACAGACTCAACTAAAACCAGTAACATTTGTTCAGAGCTATATATAGTTCAAAATGGAGCTTGTACTTACAATAGCTTCCTTTGCAGACTCATTAAACCCAGTCTTGCTGCTGCAATGTAGCGCCTTGAAAAGATCTATCGCACTGGGTGGTTCATCTTTATATTTCTCTTGCTTCTAAAATTATTCACAAACATTTTGTAGGTGTAAGATTATAAGAATAATTGTTCAATGATGAATGATTGTAACACAATGTTTCCATATCTTACCAAGGCATGGGTTGTCGCAATATAGCACCGAGATCCTGTCATCTGATGAAACCTTACTTTCTCACGGTTAAGTGCATTTTTTGCACACTTGTCCTGTGAGGAACAATTTAGTAAGCAGGGAAGAATGGCTATAGAGAGAGATAAAAATTAGATGAATTTGAAACTAGATTTGCTAAGATATTCAACAAGCATCAACACTCTTTAAGTGTAGTTGAATTTATGTCCACAACAAGTTATTAACCTAAAACAGTTTGAAAAACATAAAGTAATCACAACCAAAGATTGTGCCCTATTCTGGAAGACCAACTGCAACACAACCCTATATGTTGTCGCTAAAATATAATGAGCTGCAGTTGTATTGAGTGCAGCCCAATAGGCTCATTAATATCTAATGAGCACACAATTATCAGGGTAACAAGCCAAGCAACTTTAGGTATAATTGTAAGGATGGCCTATTGTATACAGTCCAATATAGCATAGCTACAGAATCTTAGACACAATCAAATTGGTGTACAATCCGAAGAAATAAACTCAAACATGCAACAAACCAATGCAAGAAAAATAAATGGCTTAAGAAAGCAATTGACCAACATGCCTTGTGCTTTGGGCTTGACCACATCTCCACCAGCTCTCTCCATTGATCCTCAGTCATACTCTTCAATGGTGATGTTGTTCTAACTTTGTCTGCTGGTACACCATTGAAGTAAAGCTTCTTCAAATTGTACCTCATTTGCCGTGTTCCGATCCTGAGCAAATCAGCACATGCCTCTTCAATTGGCTTGCTGTCAATTATCAATTGCTATTTGATTCTAGTCGACAGCATGTCAAGAGAGCATGCATCAGAAAATAGGTGTTAGAAGTATATAATGTGATAGAAATTTTTAACATTAACCTGACAGGAAACTTTAGAAAATCACAATGCAACAGCAGGCAAGAGCACAAGGTTCTAAATTGGCAGTCAATAGAAAAGTAGCAGGGACAAAATGTTTATGTAAGGTTCTAAATTTTCAGAATGTGGTGAGAAATAGAGAACATACTTTCTTGCTTCCCGCTTCATTTCAGTTTACTATATATTGGTAGTGGTACTAAAATAAACAAACATGCCAAACATTTCAAGTAGATAATACTACGAGATAAACTTTATGGTGGTGCTTACACTGATGTAAGTTAAACGGATCATTACAACATCAGTCGGAATAAAAGAACATGTAAAGATTGAGGCAAAAAAATATATTGGCAGTCCTAGCATAATGTTAGCAGTTAAGCTCCTTGTCATATGCTACTAGAGGCAGAAAAATATTACTCATATATAGGAGTAAACATAGATCATGCACACCAGATAAAAACTGAACATATAGCCTTTATCCACTTACAGAAATTTTGCCCATGTAGCCTGGAAGAATATCCTTGTTCTTGATATCCTTGCACTCCTTCCAGTGTGTAAAGATTGGGATATGTTGCCTCAGTATAATCCCCCCCTCTGATGCCAACTTTGCAGCTTGCATAGGCGGCTCAGGTCGTTTCTTCCCTTCAGCAATGACCACTGGAATCCTAGTGTTCAAGCCTCGGCTTATGCGATCCAAGTCTCTGCCCATGCCTTTTCCTTTATTCCATCGATCTACAGTGTGATTTGATTGACCTAGAAATAAGTGGCATTGTTAAATAGCTAGTGCAAATCATTTTAATATGCAAATGTGTAAACCATATTCTTGGAGAATGGAGTATTGCTTTCTTGCCTTCTTTGCGCATTTCTGTATCATGGTCAGTTTGGTTAAGACAATTGTCAATAGTCAATGCATCTTCTTCTATAGTTGTAGTTGCAGCATGGACGCCTTCCTCGCTTCGAATCAGTTCCTTTGTCCTCTGCCTAGTCACTCTAGGAGGTTGATTTTGGTCTTGTTCATTAGGTGCTCGCACTCTCTTTGAACCTCTTGCTCCTCCATTAGCAACGATGGTGTCGCAAGGCACATTCTGTGAAACCTGCATAATCTCATATGCATAACACAAGAAAACAAAAATCAAGATTAATCTTTTTTGCATACTGAACCAGAGTCATACAAAGAACCTGAGTTCAACAAATACCTTATCAACTACACACCCTCTTCACTGCCATCACTATCTCCAGGGTCATACAATGAACCAGAGTTTTCACGATCCATAGCCTTCTTAGCTGCAGTGGTCTTGTTCAAAATGTCCTTTGTTGCATTAATACCAATGGACTGAAACACACGATTGTTCCTCATGATCGTTTCAGCCCTTACTCTTTCACATTCAGTGGCTGGCGACTCTATGAATGCAGGAAAACGGATCAACATCAATAGCCTCATCAAAGATATATTTCCTATTAGAAATGGCGCCTATCAATGAAAATGCAGCTTGAAGATACGTCAGTCCTTTACACACTGGAAGGACTGCATAGGTAAAAGAACACGCCGGGTAACAAAAAAACATCAGAGCCTGATAAAAGGTCTGAAAATCAACTGATTCTTTGAGGATCAAACTACATTACTACAATACTAGAAAATATTTGCTGCAGAACTGGAACCAGGCTCTAAACTTGAAAAGCACTTGCCAGGACTTAATATATAGATGAATTCATTCTGCTAAGGTACTACTAAAAAGAATAGCTTGCACATAACAGGAACCAAGCTTTTTAACTTTAAAAACACATAATCAGCAACCTAATGACAATGTAAGTCAAGTTCCTGAAGTCGCCATTGCCTCTGCTTCTTCAGATATGCGTCAAGACTCGCTACCAGTCATGGATTCAAGGGAGAAAAGGAGAGATTTCTCCTATGGCTCGGTAGCCAGTACCTGGGGCGGCCGCCCCAGCTTGCCTACAGGGCTACCCTCAGATTTCGACTACAGCAATTCTACATCACCTACGTGCAGAGCCTATCTAATCCTCGACAAGAACCCTATGCTAAGATCCAAGAAATCTGATGATTTTACCTGCTGGTTGCCATCTTCTTGCTGCCAACTTCTGTGCAGGAGGCATCGTGTTCAAAGGTGGAGTGAAGGAGGATGCTGCAGATGTTGGAGCAGGGCACATCGTCAGCTCGAGATTCAGAACAATGGGCTTGTCGACTATGGAGAGGATGGCGAGTGCGGTGTGGGGGACAGGACAGAGAGGGAGGGGTGCGAGTGCGGAGTGGGGATGAGAAGGGTGGCGAGTGGGAAACCCCACCCGCGAGTGGGGATAGGAAGGGTTCCGGGACTGAGGATTTTATATCCTTGTCCTTTGATACAACGTTGAATGTCCTAGGCATGTTTTGATAGAAAGGTCATTGCATCCTAAATTTTTTGGGTCCATGCGCCTCTAGCCCAAATCTTGGCGCCTCAGCCAAAATCTGGCGCCCATTGTCTAAATCCTGCACCAGTCAATTATTAGCTTTTCTTCAAAAAAAAGGCATCCAAGGTGTTGTTTTGCACTACAATATTATTTCGTTCGTAGAAAACCATTTTTTCAGGTAGTTTATTGTGCAGAACAATATTAGCACTTTATTTTACAATTGAAATTGTTGTTTGCATAGAAACTGTAGTTTCCATATATATAATATTTGAAAGGATTAAGTCCCATTTTGGCCCCTCAACTATTGTGTTTGTCTGATTTTAACCCCCAACTATAAAACCGTCTCGTGTTGGTACCCTAACTGTCAAAATCGTTCAGTTTTAGCACCTCGTCGCGGAAGAGGCTGGTTTGTCCAGCGTGGAAAGGGTTTGACCATGCCATGCTGGCATTGACCACCACGTAGGACGCTGCCCTGCATCTCAGTGACATGTGGGGCCCGTGTGTCACCCACTCATTCCCTCCCCTCCTTCCTCTAGCTCCAGCAGCATTCGACAGCGGCGTCATCTCCATCCTTGGCGCCAGCCGCTCGCCCGAGGCCACATCGCCGACCATTCCTCCACCGGCCTTGACCACGGATAGCTGACCCCACCCACCCGATTCCGCCCCACTGCTTGGCGTCCGTCCCACCACGAGGAGCCAGCCTGTGCAGCCTCTTACGCCATGGCCCTGCGCGACCTCCGCGCCCCACCGGCTGTCTCCACGCCCACGGCTGCGGCTCCGCGCCTCGCGGTCGGGTGGCCCCTGCGACGACCTCCACGCCTGTGGCTGGCTGCACCCAGCAAAGGCTGCACCTGGTTCCCAATCAGAAGCACAGAGAAGATGTGGAGAAGGAGGAGCTCGCCATGGAGGAGGAGCACATAGGCGCGGAGGCGGAGCTGAGGGGCGATGGGAGCATTCGTTGGGCGGCCGGGTGGCGTTCAATCGGGAGCAGCCGCCGGCGCATGTGCGAAGACTCACGGACTCCCCATGGAAGAACGGGATATTTATTCTTCATTAATATTGAGTCAGAGATAAATAAAGAAAAACACTAGCATTGACATGAACACTTCTCTAGTCTAGTGGCTAAGGCTACTGATTCATGTTTGAGAGATCCGAAGTTCGAACCTCCGTTGCAGTGTTTTGTTTTTCATTTTGCGAATAAGAGTGTCGAGGCCAGCTGGGCTGCTCTGTGCCCACGCCGTGTGGACCACGTGGAGCGCTCCGTTGCAGGCCTGCTGGGCTGCCACCACTTGGACACGAGCTCGTCTGGTTGGCCTGGGCTACCCTCACATGGCAGAGAATACATCTATATACCCAGTAACTTGCAAATGTTAGCAATCACATTTTGATGTCCTAGTGGTTAAGACTCATTGATGTTAATAATAGGATCTCAGGTTCAAATCTTGCCATTGTCTTAATTTTTTTATTTTTTGAATCTTTTACCTCTACCTTAGGAAAAGTATTATACCTTTTTCATATCATATGATGTGAGACGAAGATGATTTTTTGTTTTTTATTTTCTAAAAATAGCATTACATATAGAGCCCATTAAAATACAACTAACAATGGGACCAAATATCTCATTTATTATATGTAAATAAATAGTTATAACAAACTAATATTGTCAATAATTTATGACGACTACAAGGTAGCATGTTATGATGGAACATAGATCATCATAAACAAACTACTTCTCTAGGTTATGACGATTTTTATTGTGTCTTAATGACGAACACATTATTTTCATCAAAAAGTCATTCTCCTCCTGAAAGTCGTCATAAAACAGAATGACTTATTGACGAATTGACTCATCATCACAAAAAATTTGTCATAGATAGTCATATTTCTTGTAGTGAATGGGTGAAAGCTTTACCCTGCAGAGCTGCTGATGCTAGGCATGCAAGGAAGATGTTTCATGAAGTGATCTTTCCTCGCTTTGGAACACCACGAATGGTGATAAGCGATGGAGGGTCCCACTTCATCGACAAAACCTTCAGAGCCTTCTTGAAAGAGCTAGGGGCAAAGCACAACATCGCCACTCCATACCATCCTCAAACAAGAGGTCAGGCAGAAACTTCTAGTAAACAGATTAAAAATTTCCTGCAGAAAACGGTCAATGCAATGGAAAAAGGATGGAAAGATAAGCACTTGATGCACTTTGGGCATACAGGACAGCTTATAAAACTCCCATTGGCATGTCGCCATACCAGCTAGTCTATGGAAAAAGTTGCCATTTGCCTATTGAACTTGAACACCGAGCTCACTGGGCAATCAAAAGCTAGAATATGGATGTGAAACTAGTCGGCCGGAATCGCCAAAAACAAATAGCCAAGCTAGAAGAATGGCAAGAGAAGGCATACCACAGTGCCAAGCTCTACAAAGAAAGAACTAAGAGATGGCACGATCACCAAATCCAATACAAAGAATTCAAGGAGGGAGATAAGGTTCTTCTATTCAACTCCCGAGTCAAACTCTTCGGTGAAGGAAAACTAAGGAGCAAATGGCAAGGACCGTACACCATCATCAATACTTCATCCCATGGCACGATCACCATCTAGGACGATGACAGTAACATCTTTAAAGTTAACAGTCAACATTTAAAAGTTTTCCTTGAGCCTTCTCATAACACTAACTTAGAAATAGATAGAATAGATTTAATTGCTTTTGATAAATTCATTCAAAACTTATGAAAATTTAAAAATTAACTACACTAACATCTTCTTAAAAATATAAAAATTTTGCTTCTCAAGCAAGATATCATGGTAAAATGACCTTATGCCTTCACAAGGCAAACCATGATTCTTGCTCAATCTTGATGATTTAAGTTGATCACATGAATATTCACTCATTAATACAAAATCACGTGAAATTTGAAACATGAATATTCTCTTGATTTACCATGATCATGCACATCTCACTCTATCCCTCCCTGATCCTGCTAAATCACAATCCAACACCAGCATCACTAGCATCTACATACATGCATGTGCATCTGGGCCAAAATTCAGGCCAGGAGTAGGAGCTGGGGGGTGCGGGCGCACCCATGGTGCGGCCGCACCACCCCTTGCTCCGTTGGCTTCCAATCTTCTTCCACATCATCTTGATCCTCGGTGTATCATAGCCTTGGCGGTGCTTGGTTTGTTTCCTTCACGGTAGAGGCTAGAACACCTATATAAGCCACCCAATGACCTCTCCTCTCCTCACACCAAGCTACAAGCTTTCTTCTCTCCCTCCACATAGCATTCTTAGTCCTAAGAGCAGCAATGGCTAGCTAAGCGCTCTCTTTGAACAAAGCTTCCAGCTCTATCTACGACCTTGATGTAGCACCACTATCCATTGACTACACCCTCGAGGCTAGGCTCATCACCAAGGAGCCACTTGCCATCATGCCACCACCAAGTTATACCATGAGTGGTGGTTCAAGCATCAAGTCCACGATGTGTTCCATGGCGCCCAAGGTGGCATGAAGGAGAAGAAGACAGCGCCCACACGATCCACCACCGGCGCCCTTGGCCTCAAGTGGAAGGCATCCAATGTTAGCGAACCTAGCAAACGCTCTCTTGTAATGTCTTTGGGCAATACGCCTTCCCGCGCTAGTTCGTCCCTTAATACCTCTAGGCCTAGCCTTTCCTACACCATAGTAAGTGTACGCAAACCTAAAGGAGGGTATGGAAAGGCACTCTTGCGCAAGCCAGCTAAAAAGCCGGTGAGCAAGACGGCTCCATCAGATAAGGGGTCAGAATCCTCAGGCGCACCCCTTAGGATAAAAAGGTTGAGGAAGCTCCCACCAATCAAGAGACCCGCAAGACAGTATGAGAGTAGTGATGAGGAGGATGCACCTTCCAAGGGTCCTTCCATTGCCTCTCTTAGTGCCGAAAACATTAACCTGCGAGAGCTTCTTTGGAGCCTCAACGAAAACTTAGCCACAAAGCTCATTAAAATTAGAGACCTGGTCGATGACATTAACAGCTTACGCTTCAAGCTCTACCAGAAATTAGCTAAAGTGGCTAAGGCGGCAGGAGTGGTAGATGCACTAGATGAACCTCTCTAGGCCACTCCCGCTGCAATAATAATCTTGGCGCATTGTTTTGCCCTAAGTTTTTCATTCCCATCATATTTGAATTATATCTTATAATGCACCTATCATTTTATAATTGAATAAATAATTTATTATTAGAAATATTTGTGCACTTGTTTTCTTGTTCTTTTATCATAATAAAAACAGGTATGAAAACAAGTGTGGGAGAGAAACCACACTCACCTTCAACTCGATTGAACAAACGACAGTTAAATTCAAACTCGGTTTGTGCAACTCTCACTCTCTCATTCAATACTTTAATAAAGAAGCTTTAAAATAAATAAATTTAAAAATTGATTATGCTCCATCTCCATGACTTCCTATGATTAAAAAGTTTGCATACTTTTTATTCCTCGCAAATATTCCTACCACCTTGTGAACACTTATTTATAGGAAACCCATTTTATCTATGTAATTGACGAATGAGATATAGTAGAATGACATGACTCTTGCTTAATTCCTACAAAAACATTTGGGATCTATTTTATAAAACAAAATTCAAATAGCATGTTCCTTGAATGACATTTCAAATACCTACCAAGGCCATATATGATCTTACATGACAAAAACCTTACATATATGCCTCTTACTTTGTATTGAGTTTGGTCAAGTTTTGTGACCCCGTTGAGAGATGTTTCATGAT